ATAATTTAAATAAAATAAAACTTTTTAAAAACAACATAATTTTATGAAATCTATTGAATAGTTTTGACATACCTATTGCTGTTATAGGTACCTATGTGTCTTCATTCATTTTGTTTAACTCATTTTGACATTGTTAAATTTAATCCTGTATTATTTTATATTTAGGTAGGTCACGCGGTCTGGTAGGTCACATACTAAACGAATACCCAAAATTATATTATAATTTAAAAATGATAATAATAATATCACTTTTTGTATAAAATAAAAAATAAATAACATCTCTTCTGTCTCTTATGCCCATATGCATAGTCAATTTAAGTGTCACATTAGAGATGTTAAACTATGTCTTATGTAACATATCAATTTACTAATGCATACGGACATAATTTTACCAACTGGCTTTACAAAATTAAAATATTTATATTTCTTGCCTATTTAGTGCTTTTTAAGGAGTTTTTTTTATGCAAAATTTATAAAACTAAGGTACTACCTAAAATACCTACCTATCGGCAATCACATTGCAATAATAACTCAATAAATAAATAGTAATTATATTTTTTTTCATACATGTAGTGGTTTGTTTTTTCAGCAGGATAGAGTACTGCCTGACAAGTTATTTATTCCACTATTACTAAATGCATTTTAAGGGACTTTGCATAGGCAATTTTTACTAGAATTTTATAATATTCATGTGCGAATTTATAATTTCTCCATCATATATCTATTTGAAAACCTAATTACAATCTGTTCCGTGTTAAAATGTTGGTTATCAATTTTAAAAGTATCACTACTGTAGTACTGTCGTACTCCACTAATCATAAATTGATCAAAAGTAATCTTTTTTGCAATTATGACAATCCCAAAGTCGAGTGAAATTATCGGCGTAAGCTATGAATGCTGTGTAATATTGTAATAATTATTATGCTTTTTGAACCTTATTATTGTTATAGTAGTATTGTCAGGAAAATATGGTTTTCTGTGTAGGTATAATTATTATATAAATAATAATTTGTACGAACTTATCAAACCTATATAAAAAAAGGTGCTTTGCTGTACAGTAGGTTACAAGTGGGTTACTGTATAAAGGATGGTATTAAATTTGAATTCAATGATATAATATCATTGTATAAGAAAAACGATTCTGAGCGGTGACGGTATGTCGGTCTATGTATAAGACATATTATATACATATCAATGGTAATAAAAAAAAATATGCACAGTCTTATCATTGAGCATACTTCTTATTCATTATACTATGGAAGATGGTATGGATAGGCCATAATATTTTGATTTTTTGATTTTTAAATTTCATATATCCCCGCATAATATTTTTAAATTACAACAAAAAACCAAAATCGTTAATATTGATTTTAATATGTAATTTCGTCCAAATTTGAACTTAAAATGACTATAAAAATAAACTGTGCTAATGTATTATTTAGGTTTTTTGGTAACAGAATTAACTACTTACGTGGAATCTTGTTTGAACATTTTATAAATTTTTAACTACAAAATAATTATTCAATTTTAATTTTGATAAATTTTTTCAAAATTCGATCTTTAATCGCTTATAAAAAAAAATTGTATTTTTAATATTTTTCAATTGCTATTGTAACAATATATCAAGAGCCTTGTATTAAATGTTTACACTTTTGGGCCCAACAGATAAAACTTTATTGATAATTATAAAAAAAAAAACTAAAAAAATTGAAAAAAAACTGAAAATGTCCGTAAACAGTTCAAAGAAGAGTCAAAATATTTTCAAAATTGTATGGTGTATAGGAAATTCTAATATAAATATTCAGTGAAATTTTCATGTATCTACAGTTATTAGTTTTTGAATTACAACAAAATAAGGAAATCGCTACATCAGAAATCGAATGTATACCCAATATTGTAAAATTATGAACTTTAAACGCTCATAGACATTTAATTTGACTTTCCGGTAGAGATTTTTTATTGATAAAGGTAGACTTATGAGTAATCTTGTATTACATTTTCAAATCTTAGATTTAAAAACCAAAATTTTCTATGAATTCTCAACTCAAAATAATTTGCTAATTTTCGTGATTTTTCCGTATTTTGTCAAGATTTGAACTTTGAATGCTTATAAAAAAAAACTGTGACTAAGAATTTTTAATATTTTTCATCTGCCTTTGAAGCAATATACTAGGAGCCTTCTTTTAAATTTTCAAGTATTTTTACTCAACAAATAACATTTTATTGATATTCATAAAAAAAAACTAATAAAATTAGAAACTGAAAATTCCCTAAACAGTTCAAATAAATCAAAATATTTTGAAAATGTTATCGTTTATAATGCAAATATAAACAACCAGTGAAAATTTCATGTATCTACGGTCATTTGTTTTAAAGTTACACCAAAAACCAAATTCGATTTTGTGAAAAATTCTTTCTTGGCGCTTTTGAAAATCAATGCGAATTTTAAATTTTGACCTTCCCAATGCACCAACGATATTCACTTTCCAATCGAACAAGATACTGAAATTGAAAATCGAAGCATTTTTTCGACTACTTATCGTGTGTACAGACACAAATAAAATAAAACAAAAACACACATTGTAAAATCAATACATTCGTCGTTCCACTCAGAATCTAAAAATAAATTATATTTTAATATATTACAATTTAAAACTGGTTTAATTTATTAAACAATAAAACAGTTTGTTTATAAATATGAATTTGTATTATTAATTTGTATTTATCAGAATATTGGAAGGACAAATAATTAAGTATAGCTGTTATTCAATTTTATTTTTCGATGTCTTGGCACAATTACTTTTCTGAGCTATTATTATACATATATATATTTATTTTTAATGAAGATATTTTTATCTTATATAATTTTTTCTATCCTTGAAGAATACTGTAATAAGAACAATATCGTTTAATTTTAAAATAATATACGTTTGTATATGGTCTGTAAAGTGTTTGTTCTACACATGTAATTATTCGATAATTAATTGTTTTTGTTGATTAAAATTAAAAAACATTTATATCGAGAGTAAGTAAATCAAATAACTAATAATAAAAATTAAAAAGTCTTGAACCTATCTGGCAGATAGTATCTGCCAACATTATACTGCTTAGTACATAGTACCTATCTATTAACTAATTATCTACTACGTATAGACGTATATATATATAATATATTACATTATTGTTTAGATGTTTAGTTTCTCAATTAAACTCCACCAAGATAAAAAAATATCCATAACAAACACGATACTGAATAATAATCGAAAATTAAAGTTCAAGATTAAGGGATTATAATAATATGGTTTTTATAATAGGCACCTATGTTAAATTTGGAGTAAATACGAACAGTACTTTTACGATGAGTCGTATTTACTTATTTGGATCAAGGATTTGTCTTATATAATATATACTATTTACGATTATTAATGTTAGTTTGGCGTTTATATACACCTAAGATATTATTAATATTATTATAATTATATACATCAATTAAGTTTTTAAAGTCGTAAAAGTGTAAATGTTACCTGTTCGCGTTCTGCAGTGGAAATTGTGACAAATATATTATGATATTGGGCAATGCTGTTCAAATGGAGTTTAGAAAACATACAGACATACAGTTGCAATTTAAAATAGATATAAAGTTATTTAAAATAGAGCAATGTTTTCGACGTTAAACAGTAAACAGAAGATCACCAATATAATAATATCTTACAGTTATTCACAATTCACTGAGTACCGAGATAATAAACAAGATGATAACAGAAGAGGCGGATGAGTTTGCGGTTATCATGACCATGAACATTCTCTTCAATGGTAACCATAGAACAATATGGTAACCAAGCATCGTGATTCTTGACTAATTATGATTCGGGCAGATGCATTCAATATTTCAATATTTCACCATGTACGACGCTTGCTCCAAATAATTTGGAATCACATTGCTTTTTATTAACCGTGGTTTTCGGTCATTGCGAAGATAAAAAACCGAGCATTTTTGGCAGACACCACGAATATAGATACTATCTTTAATTGTGATCGTGGCCATAGACATAGTTAGTATAAGGCAAAGATTTTAAACAACAATTAAACAACAATTATTTAAAATATCTGGTATAAGGCGGCAGTCAACCTATCGTGGGTGCGTGATAACGGCTGATAACGCGACCATAGATCTTTAATTTGTTTTATGATATTAATAATGTATTATCACCACACAAATATAATAATTTGGTTATGACTTATGGCTTATAGACCATCGCATCATCATTGCTATCGAGGCTGGATGCTGAAGCCAGAAGCACTGTTGAACCACAATTCCACAACAACAGCCAACAGGCCAGGGCGTTCCAACGGGCGGTCCCAGCTCTTCCAGGGTTACGAGGGCACTGGGTAAAATGACTACTATGACAACAGCGTTATTGCGTTATGGAAGAAACGACGACTGGCCGACTCTTCCATGGGTGGCACGCCGACGACAACAACACCAACTACCTACCTATTACGCATCATAGTATTATAGTTTTTGGTTTTGTAAGTAATAAGTTGTTCACTTGTTCTTTTACGGCATTGTGTTCGAGACCGCGATTGATAAGGGGCTCTGTGACGTAATCGCAGCAGCAGGATCGACGACACTCCGACTCCGCTAGTCCGCTATGCGTATCAACGAAATTCCTAGTCGCAACACGGCATGATGACGATGGTGATGTACTGATGTCACAGTTTGCGATTTTTGTTTGATATTATTTTGAAATGTTTTTCCCGAGAGCGTCGTCCTAGTGCTGTGTAAAGTTGTTGTTGCTGTTGATGTTGTAGTGTTGTCGTAGTAGTAGCCAGGTAGGTAAATAGTTCTCGTCTTTCGAGTTTGTGGTGCGAAAACTCAGATTTTGTGCGTGACTGGCCGCCGCCAACTCTCCTCGAACGATTTTTTGTTCGTTTTGTTCCGTTTATCGCCATCACATCTCTTCCGCGTTTCCGTTATCGTCCCACCTGATGTGCTTGCAATGAACGGGATGACGTTCAGCGAGTTGATGTACCTGTTCTGCTGCCCACCCCTGCCATCCCGCATCGCCGCCAAGCTGGCGTTCCTTCCGCCGCCAATTACTTACGACTTCACGCCGGTCGACAGTGGTGAGACCAAGTACCATATCAAGTTCAACGACAAGGCCGAGTGGCAGTACACTGACAGTGACGTGCAGAACATCGAGGGATTCTACGCTCGCACGTCCCGTGGAAATCGCATAGCGTGTATATTTGTGCGATGCTGTCCCAATGCCCGATACACCATACTGTTCTCGCATGGAAATGCCGTCGACTTGGGCCAAATGAGCAGCTTCTACCTAGGACTGGGTATGAGAATCAACTGCAACATATTCAGCTATGACTATTCCGGTTACGGCATCAGCAAGGGTAAGCCAACCGAGAGGGACTTGTATGCCGACATTGACGCTGCTTGGCAAACATTGAGGACTACCTATGGAATCAGCCCTGAGAACATTATACTGTACGGCCAAAGCATTGGTACCGTGCCCACTGTCGACTTAGCGTCTAGATATGAAGTGGGAGCTGTAGTCCTTCATTCGCCTTTGACATCCGGCATAAAAGTAGCGTTTCCTAGGTCCAAAAGGAAATGGTTCTTTGACGTGTTTACCAGGTGCTTAAGTATTTATGTTTTAGCGTCTTCAACTAAACTATTTTACATTTGTACATGTTATGTTTACTATTACACATTTACACCATTGATTCGTTTAATTTAATTTTGTCGTTTAAATTCAGCCTAAAAAATTAGGTATTAATTATATAGCCGATTGTGATGTATAGTATAGTTATGCTTTGATGCGTAGTGCTATTTAGTGTAGGTTTGATGAATTTCTAAGGTATGACTTATTACATAATATTAAGTATAAATCTATAAACACACCCTTTGTTAATACAAACAGTTTTAATAAATACATATACATGTATATAATTGTATATTAGCCACACCCTATTTTATAACTATGTAGACCGGTGTGTGCCTACTGACTATCTATATTTTATTCTCCGGTTGTATAATGAGAGGGTTATAATTTATATAAAATGAAATTGTGTGAACAAGTGGAATCATGTAGACAACAATTGGTTTGCTTGTATAAACAACCTAGTAGAGTAGTGAACTTTGATATTATTTAGTAATAAATTCTTCCAGTTGAAAATATTTATTTTTTAATATTATCAATTAGGTGGGTACATAATTTATCCCACTATTTTTTTTAAATATCCTTTTTATCTTAATTAAACAAAATTAAAAAAAAAAAAATAGTATATTTACACTCTGTACAAGTTATACAATTTATTGACGGGTGGGGGAAGTTGCCCATTGGCATCACCCTGGAATTATCCTTATATAATAGGTGTGTATAAATATAATAATGGCATTTTAATAAATTTAAATCTAAAAAAATTAAGTTGGCCAATGGTTAATAACTAATCTTTAAAAAGTAAAAAAAAAAAAATAGTTAGATATTAAGATAGTATGGTAAACATTTTCTTATAAATATTGCTCTAGATTGAATATTACTCACTTAACCATTGTCTATTTCAGTGATCAATTTATGAATTATAAATTTCAACTACCCAGCAGGCAGCAGTCACCCAGTAACCTTTTAATTATTACTTAGTCGCCTTCAATGTATATTGATAAAAACTGTTAATATTATTAAAGTTTATTAGTTATTACTCATTAGGTATTGCCTAATATTTATTAAGATTTCCTTTTTAAACAAACAATTTTAATCTAAGTAAAATTAAAAATTCTTCCATTTTAAGCATATTATTACCTAATCAATTGTATTAATCATTTTTAGATATTTTCCTTAGGTACATAATATAAAGTTTTATTGAACCTAATAATGTACCTACAGTCCTACTATTATAATATACTTCATTCAATCTGATGATTTATACTTAACCTATAACATAGTTCTCTAAAATATGTAAACTGCAATTCGTAATTTATATATCTAGTAGTATTATGTACATAATATTTTAAGCTATTTAGTAACTAAAATAATGAACACAAATATTTGTTACTTATGTTAATATTTTATTCTCAAGAAAATGCCGTATAATACAATATTTATTTATTGATTTACTGTATCTGTCTATCTTGTACAAAACAATGAATAAACAATAGACTAGATTAATATTTAAGTTAATTGACCTATGATCTATGAACAAATTTAGATGAGGAAATGTGACATGTGATATATGTATATTGTATAGCATACCTAGTATTTTTTCAATATTATAGTAGGTACTATTGTACTAAAATAAAATGATAAGTACATTTTATATAGATAGGTACACTACTTGAATTACAATATTTAAAACATTTATACCTTTTTTTAAGAAAAAAAATTAACAATCAAATATCAAAAGATAATATTACCCTAGAGGATACAATTTTGGTTCTATAATAAATAAATCTGTTATGATGTCCTATTCTGACTATGTTTTAAGTACATTAAATTATTTATGTTATCATAAATTAATTCATGAATTTTTTTAGTATCGATAAGGTATCAGAAGTTAATTCACCCGTGCTCGTCATACACGGAACACACGACGAAGTAATTGATTTTTCACACGGTGTCGCTATTTATGAAAAATGTCCTAAAGCAGTTCCACCATTATGGGTTGAGGTAAATATATTTTTTTGATATTTAGTTGTAGGATAAAATTTCAATATTACTCAACCATAAAATTATTAATAAGTAATAACTGTTCGATGTTTTGCAACTAAATTAGCTACATTATAATATTATATTTACTGTATTTCAGGGTGCTGGACACAATGATGTAGAATTGCATAATGTTTATTTGGAAAGACTTAAACAATTTGTTACTACTGAACTGCTCAACTGACATTTAATTGAAAAACAAGATGCAGATACATCGAATGGACAATCGCCCAATATGGTAACTAATGGCTCAGCGACTGAGAAATTACTTTGGTAATTTTTTATTATTACATCTAATACTATATTAGTGTATAATTTGTATAATATTTATCATAATAAATATTAATCGTTCATACTATTTTATCATCCATTACAATTCATGTACAATATTTTTTTTGTTAATCATTTGCTTAATCGTTATTATTAAGTCATGACTATATAACACTATTCCTAAACAAGTATTTTGAAGTTTAAACAATATATTTAATATTTATATATAATAATATGACTTGTGTATTATAATAATTAAAATAATGTATCAGTGTTTTTTTTATCAAATTATTAAATTATTGTATGTTTATTATTATTATTATTATTATTATTATTTATTATAGGTTATATTTGATTAGGTTTATAAATTATATTATAGATTTATCGTTTATACCTATGATATTTATATTATTATTATTATTTTAATACAGTAGAGTACCTATTAACCGAATTAATAATTCTTAACTTTGTGTGAAATACTGAAATGTGAATTTTAAACCTTTTTTTTCCAAGAAAATTCGAAAAATACATTTTCATGTAAAAATACTACGTTATTGGATTAACAACCAATCCAAGTTTAGCCAAAAATTGGTGCTCTACTGTTGAGTTTATTTATAGTTAACTAGTACTGTTTTAATTAATGCAAATTATGAATAATGGTTTTGTACTAGTTAAAACACTAGACATGACTTGAGTATAATATTTAAATGTATATTATTATATCAAGCGTTTAAATAAAAAAAAAATTATTATTGTAATTTTAATTATATATTAAGTTGAACAAAACAAATATTTTTTACACGCACATTGTTTTGTATGATATTTTTTGAATTCAAACATGTTATAATATATTATAAACATTTATTATAATATTGATAAAAAAAAAAAAAAAAACATTGATACTTTCAATGTTTTTGTGGCCTTATAATATATTTCATGTACCTTCTTCAATGTAATTTGTGTGAAATTAAACACTATTTCTCATATAATATAACTTATTAATTGTACATTATTAAATACCATTGATTTTATAATATATGTTAAGATGAATGGTGATATATAGGCTATATAGCTGTATTTCGCGACTATTATATAAGTTGCAGAATAAATAAAAACATTGTTATTTGGAAAAACAATTTTATATTTGTATATAAGTTTAATCTTAATATTATTGTCGGGTGATGATAAGCATCCAAAGATGCCGAATAGTGGATTCAGAAATATTTCATTAAAATTTTAATATTTTTATTTATCTGTTGATATGTGTAGCTGTATGCCTGAGTGTAGGCATACAATTTAAAACTAAAATATTTAAATGTGTTCTACATTCTTAATTTAACAGAATTATATCAATGATTATTATTTGAAAGTATTTTTAATCAATGATATCATGCTATAAGTAGATAATCAAAATATCAAAACGTTTATAACCTAAATCTACCAAATTTGATGTGCTTTGTGCATTTACATTAATGTAATTTTTTTTCTTTAAAAATAGAACACATGATATAATTACTAATTACTTTTATACTTTTATACTAATTCCATCTATTTTATTGGTAGGTATTCTATGAAAAAGTGCTAAGTAAAATTTCAGAAAGCTTATAGGTGAACAAAACAAAACAAAATTATTTGTAGGTATATGGTACATTTACTATGGGTCTACTTAATTTTTTGAGCAGTTTTATACAATTTAAAATTGAATATTAATTATGCAATTATGGTTGAATTCATATAACTCAGAGATTTTGTTTGGTGGCTGGAAAGCGGTGGTTATCATTTAATTAAAAACTTTAAATATTTGTAAAATGTAGAAATGTGGATAATTTATCTGTTGTAAACTTGTAATACAATTTAAAGGGGTGTGAAAAATATCTGGGTAAGAACTTAGGCAGTTTGAAATCTGGCAAAATCTAAATCTGCAGTGAGTATAACTTTATTTCATGTTTGTAGTGTGTAACGGGACGTTTTCCTGTTATCCTTAGTCAACAAATAATATTTTTTTTAAGACTGGTAAAATTGGTTAACATTTTTTAGTGCAGTAATATCCATCTGTAATTACCACCATTTTAGTGTGGGTTTGAAATCTAATTTTTTATGGAAAACCTTTCATTGGTATCATATTTAATTAGAAATATTATCTATTCATAAATTGTTTTGACAACTGTCAGGAAAGTCGGGGTTGTTGTTTGTAATTATAAAGTGCAATTGTTCAAACATTTATTTGTATAAAACATCAATTAAAATTTAATGTGTTTGCCCCATAGACATATTAACTATTAAATATGTCTATGGTTTGCCCCATGCATACACAGTAGGTACCTACTATACCATAGTCCATAACCATAAGGTGTAATTAAAATTTAATTTGTTTTTAAAAGGACGTCATATTTAGGTAAAAGGTAAACTAACTATTAACGTATACGTATACTTGGTATATTATGTGCTGTTGAACAATAATTATTTTTAAATGAAAATAACAATAATACAATATAGCGGCTGTTGTAGCATAGCAATTATGTAGATGGATTCTATGTAGTTATACGAATACTATAAAAGTCAAATATCTCTAACTCACAGCGAAAACGAAAACAACGATCAAATCCCTGAAGTGCCTAGCTTACCCAATCACCTGCACCAATAATGTAATATAGTTACACCACTATTATCGTTTATCATTGCAAATTTGAAACTAACCCATACTTAATTATACATATTTTATACCTGTGAAATAGGTAATGTTATGTAGGTATAGTAGCTACGGAACAAGTAACAACTGTGCAATAATGTAGTCTGTAATGTGAAAAGACTATAAAAATGTTAAATCGCGAGGGCGTAGGCGTCATTTTACGGGGGGGGGGGGGGCATAGTGCAACGCGCCAATAAAAGACTTCTCCAGTATAAGCATCAATATACAATATACCAATACATTATACAATTAATAATTAATAAGCATAAGAGTATAAGACTATATTATTATAATACCTATACTAATTAATATATAATAAATCGTTATAATTTTTCTACTCCCGTTACATTGGTCATAATATAATAGTTGACAATCCAATAAAACGTATAGGTGTACTATATACCTACTTCAGTGTATACATGAACACGTGATACGAACAAATTAAAATTAATAATACCTCGAACGTGAGACCGTTCGGAGATCCTCGTTGGTCGCCTGCAGCCACCGTTTCGGCGGCAGGTACACTATATACATCGCCATCGCGGAAACCCTCGGGCCGCAGTCACACCCATTATTATAATAATAATTAATAATATTATTATTATTATTATATTGTGTCGAACAATGCACGACCGACGACGCTTTAAATGGAAACGTCCAATACCTAGGTTATAGTATAGTGTTTGTTTTATAGTTTTTTCGCCTCCTGACGTGGGTGTTAAACTGGTTTATCGACGACAGTGGCATAGGTACAGGTGGGTACCCCCCAACTAGCCAGCTAAGCGCACGACAACAGGCTTCTTTTCGACGGTGACATTTTATTATTATTGCGTATTGTCGGCGCTACACACAATTTACGATCAAACTGCAAATACCTGCGAAATGCAAATTCACCAACTAACAGTACCTACCTAGTCTCACAATGACGTTTCCATATTATGGTTTTATCCAAAGTGCATTTAAAAATAATAAAAGGGGAGATATTATAATTTATAATATGTGATACATCATACCAGGGCCTAAAATATATCTAATTTCAGGAGACACACTTATTAATTTAACTGTTGACTTTGGACTTTGACAGATTTGTATAGCAAAAAAAAACCTGTGTTGGTTGTAACTCCCAAAATGTAACTCCTTCTTTTATGTACCACTTATTACCTTACAGTCTACACATTAATAATATTTATATGATATTGGTATTAAAAATACATAAAATAAATACAAGTATAGGTTAAAAATATTTTACTATAGTATTATGAAACAATGAAACATTGATAATAATGATGTGGGTAGGTACATTTTGAATTCCATTGCCCCCCACAAAAAAAATAGTTCGGCGTCACTGAACCAGTGGCGGATCTATGGGGGGGGCGACGTGGCGATCACCCCCCCCTTGGGCTTTTTTTTTTATTACAGATTTATTTAATATTTTCGATTTATAGATTTACACATTACACAATACATTTTTATAAATTAATAATTATTAATTATTATTTTTTTTTTCTCTTTATGTTTCATGATAACAATGATAACAACTTTATCAGACAATGACATATTAGGCGTGTTTTGGCGGAGTAAACTGTTTAGTAAATAAGTTTATGGTTATAGAATACGGTTAGAAAACGTTTACTGGAACGCCAAAACGATTAAACGTTTGATCTGTTTACTGAAATATTTGATAAAACTTATCATAGAAATACCGGCATACAAAATACAAATTATCACGTTTTTATCATAAACTTTTTAGTAACCGAATCTCAGTAAACCACGGACTAAGATATACAGGACTGGACACGAGATGAATATTGTGGTTACGAAATGTTTTACAACAGGCGGAGTTCGGGGGGATATTTTCCTTTTAGCATTACTAGCGCCGTCTTAGTGGATACTTATGGAACTAGAAATTTGTATGATGTGTTCTAGTTCCATAAGTCTCCACTAGGACGGCGCTAGTAATGCTAAAAGGAAAATATCCCCCCGAACACTGCCTGTTGTAAAACATTTCGTAGTCAACCCCCCCACACCCTCCAACCTTGTCGTGTCCAGTCCTGTATATCTTAGTCCGTGCAGTAAACCCTCTTACCAAGTCGAAATCGACGGTTAGAAAATTCACTAAACACGTTCACGAAATTAGTTACCTGGTTACAGTAACCGTAATCGCGAAAACGATATCAGTAAACAGTTTACTAGCGGTTAGCGCCGGTTACACCGCCAAAACACGC